CTCCTCCAGCCTCTGTCCTCCATGCAGCGCCCGTGCTGTGGGACCACCGTGCTCTCCACAGCCTGTGCGCTCCCTTGCGTCCCCTCCCCTTGCACAGAGCAGCTCTGGATTAGGGAAGTTGTGGGCTGGGATAGGCCAGAGCTCACAGCGGGTTTTTAAAGTGCCAATTGGGGCTGTTGTAAAATAGTCCAGTCCTAAGCAAAGTGTTACAGAAGTTGTTTCTGACAAAGCTGTGTGTTGTTCAGGCCCTCGCTGGTGTCAGCTTGGAATGATGAAGAGAGGGGGTTTGTGGTGCTTTCAGAGTCCAGAGAGAGCACAGAGCACTCTGAGTGTGTGCTGAGCGCTGTGCACACCCCAGTGTGCTCTGGGCTGCTCTCTGTGGTAGAGGCATGTTCCTCCTCCCAGTGTCACAGAATCACAGAATATCCTGAGTGGGAAGGGATCATCAAGTCCAAATCCCAGCCCTGCACAGACACCCCAGCAGTCCCACCCTATTCATCCCTGGGGGCATTTTCCAAATGCCCTTGGAGCTCTGGCAGCCTTGGGGCCATGCCCATTCCCTGGGGAGCCTGGGCAGTGCCCAGCACCCTCTGGGGGAAGAACCTGTTCCTGATACCCAGCCTCAACCTCCCTTCCACAGCTCCAGCTGTCCCCTGGGGTCACTGGTCACCAGAGAGAGGGCACACTGCTGTCACTCTGTCACACCCTTGCTAGTTCTTAGGTCTGCAGCCTCCGCCTAGTGCAAGGTTGAGGAGGGAAGGATGCGGAAGGGGAAGGGTGCTGTGAAAAGCAGATACGTTTTGGGAGGCAGGTGATGCAGGAAGTGGGCAGTGCCCTGGGCTGAGCAGGGCTGAGTGGCTGCTCTTCCTGGCCAGGCTGCAGCAGGGCCTGAGTGCTGCTGCTGCTGCTTAGTCCCTGTGGGAAGCACACAGAGGGGAGCTGTGGTTCCCACCACCCCACCCATGTGGACATACCACAACCTCTCCATTCCCAAAGCCCTTCGTGCTCTTCACATCGTTCCTCCCTTGGCAGGCTATGGAAATGCAGATCAAAAAGCAGTTCCAGGACACATGCAAAGTGCAAACTAAGCAGTACAAAGCACTGAAGAATCACCAGCTGGAAGTAACTCCAAAGAGTGAGCACAAGACAATTCTGAAGAGCCTGAAGGACGAGCAGACACGGAAGCTCGCCATCCTGGCCGAGCAGTACGAGCAGAGCATCAATGAGATGATGGCCTCGCAGGCGGTACGTGCAGGGGGCTCGGGGGCCTGGCAGCACCTGGGGGGAATTCTCCAGCCACTGAATCATAAAAACTCTTCAAACAACGTATCAGGTGGCACTTTCCCTCTTGGAATGTGTCCTGTGGAATACATGTCCTTCCCCTGCTCCCCTCGTGTGCTGGGGTTCAGGATTGGATCTGCTGAGGCTCTGCTCAGTGTGAGCAGAGCAGCTGCTGCTCATGAAGCCTTCCCTGCTTCCTCCCTCTGCCACCAACACCTTGGGCTGTGGGAAGAGTGGAGTGGTGTGTGACTTGTGTGGGAGCAGAGGAATTCCCAGCGGGGGTTTCAGCCTTGTTTTCCCAATGCTCTCACAGCTCCGGCTGGACGAGGCCCAGGAAGCAGAATGCCAAGCCCTGAGACTGCAACTCCAGCAGGAGATGGAGCTGCTCAACGCCTACCAGAGCAAAATAAAGATGCAGACAGAAGCACAGCACGAAAGGGAACTCCAGAAGCTGGAGCAACGGGTGTCGCTGCGCAGGGCACACCTGGAACAGAAGGTACGTTCCAGAGGGGCTTTGGGGACACAGGGAGGCTGGAGCTGTGCTGGGGCTGAGTGCTCCTTGCAGAGGGGCTTTGGGGACACAGGGAGGCTGGAGCTGTGCTGGGGCTGTGAGTGATCCTTGCAGAGGGGTTTTGGGGACACAGGGAGGCTGGAGCTGTGCTGGGGCTGTGAGTGCTCCTTGCAGAGGGGTTTTGGGGATATTGGGACAGGCTGGAGCTGTGCTGGGGCTGTGAGTGCTCCTTGCAGAGGGGTTTTGGGGATATTGGGACAGGCTGGAGCTGTGCTGGGGCTGTGAGTGCTCCTTGCAGAGGGGTTTTGGGGATATTGGGACAGGCTGGAGCTGTGCTGGGGCTGTGAGTGATCCTTGCAGAGGGGTTTTGGGGACACAGGGAGGCTGGAGCTGTGCTGGGGTTGTGAGTGCTCCTTGCAGAGGGGTTTTGGGGATATTGGGACAGGCTGGAGCTGTGCTGGGGCTGTGAGTGCTCCTTGCAGAGGGGTTTTGGGGATATTGGGACAGGATGGAGCTGTGCTGGGGCTGTGAGTGCTCCTTGCAGAGGGGTTTTGGGGATATTGGGACAGGATGGAGCTGTGCTGGGGCTGTGAGTGCTCCTTGCAGAGGGATTTTGGGGATATTGGGACAGGATGGAGCTGAGCTGGGGCTGTGAGTGCTCCTTGCAGAGGAGTTTTGGGGACACAGGGAGGCTGGAGCTGTGCTGGGGCTGTGAGTGCTCCTTGCAGAGGGGTTTTGGGGATATTGGGACAGGCTGGAGCTGTGCTGGGGCTGCTGACTGTGCTCCTTGCAGATCGAAGAGGAGCTCGCCGCCCTCCAGAAGGAACGCAGCGAGAGGATCAAGTTTCTGTTGGAAAGGCAGGAGCGAGAGATTGAGACGTTTGACATGGAGAGCCTGCGGATGGGCTTTGGGAATTTGGTCTCATTAGAGTATCCCAAGGAGGACTATAGATGAGGTTAAATTTCTTTGCCATTAAAAAAAAAACCACAAAAAACCAACAAAAACCACAGAAAGCAAAGGAAGTAAGGATAAAACTTGCAAACCCAACATTCCCCATGTTGACGGGCGTGCTCTCTCTCTTTCTGTCTCTTACTGACATCGTGTCGGACCAGTGCCTGTATATTCTTATCCATCAGGGGCCCCTTTCCCCCGTCACGTCCCGGTGCAGGACAGCTCCTGGCAGTCTTTTCCATAGTATGTCACAGTATTGATGTCTCTGTGCAATGATTAAAAATGTTTCAGTGAAAACTTTGGAGACAGTTTTAATGGAGAAAAAAAAAAAAAACCAACATAAAAAAAAAAAGCCACCAAGTGGATGTATGTTGCTTCTGAGCAATCACTCATCTTACCACCAATCAATGAAAGTACAAGCAAAAAAATATTAATAATTAAAAGATATCTACGATCCCAGGGGGAGAGAGACTGAATCCGCAGCCTTACCTTAACTAGCTGCTGCATAATTTTATTTTATTTTTATTTTTTTGGTATTTATTCATCAGGAATAATTAAATAATAATAAAAAAATTTTATTAAAGATTGAAAAAAATTTGATACATTTTACAGAAAAAAAAACTTAATCGTGCTGTACATATCAGTGGTGACATATTATTACTTTTTTGGGGGTGGGGAGGGGAGGGCGATGACGTGGTGATTTTTAGGAGAACCATGCCAGGGGCAGCAGGGACGAGCCCTGGCCCCTGGGCATATTCTTGATTGTATCATAAATCATTTTCTGCTGTCGCAGAGAATGTGAATACACTTAAATGAGCCCACAGGATCCCAGTAGCACAAATTGGGCTTTGTCAAATCGTGTATTTTGTGTATAGAAGGAATTTAAGGAGAGCTTTTACTTATTTTCATATTGTATTTTAACTGTTTCTCTGATCAAAAATTTTTTTACTTCTTTCCCCCCCTCCCTTCCTGCTCCAGCCACCCCCCACTCTCCAGTTCTGTTCTGGAGCTCAACACTGTCTGTTAGATCATCCCAGCCCTTTTCAGTTTTCTTTTATTTGTTTTTGGGGGGTTTTTATTTGTTCCTCCCCCAAGTCCACCCCCAACCTCATGATCTTGGTCATAAATATTGCATTATTCACACTTTCAAACTGTGTATTTTCTTACAATAAAAAGAGAAAAAAAAAAGGCTTTACTTCTTTTGCATGCACTTTAAAAAAAAAACCAACAAAAAAAAAAGGACAAAAAAACCAACAAAACAACAAAAACATTTTTCAGGTTCCAGGGAAGAGCATGAGTAACTGTCAGAGCTTTTAATTATATTTGTAAATAAAAGTGTTCATCACAATGCCTGGCTGTGTCATTGTGGGAGGGGCGGCTCGTGGCCCAGCACAGGTGCAAGGTGGGGATGGGGAGGGGACACATTCCCCTGGTGTCCCATTCCAGTGTCCCCGAGCCTGGGCAGGGCTTGGTTTCCTGACAGTGGAGGTTTTTAGCGTGATGGGTTTTTAATTTTTAATATTCTCCTCCCAGCCCGAGCAGTCCCAGGATGGATCAGCCTTGTGAGCCCTCCTCCAGCCTGAACTCTGGTGGGCCTTGGTCTGGAGAGGCTGGGGCTGTTTTCCTGGGATCCTCTTGCAATGTGTTAATTGCTGGGCTGATAAAACTGCCCTGGGGGCAGCACCACCCACATGAGTTCTGGAATCCCACATTTTCTCAGGGCTGCTGCTGATTCCTGTTTGTCAGACCACGTCACTGCAGAGCTTTGCTACAGCAGCTTGAAAAAAAAGGGGGAAGGCTCCTGATTCCATGAAGCTGAATTGCACTGCTTCATTCACCTTTTTTACCTCTTTATAGCCATCAAGCTCTATCAAAGGCTCATTTCTGATCGAGGCACCCCCAGGCCTCACTGCAAAGCTGCTGGAGCAGCAGGAAGCACCTGGGACCTGCAGCTGGGCTGGGAAGTGGTGCCCAGACTGACTGTTGGGGTGTCAGATCTGCTGTGGTGATGTGGGGGCTCCTGTGGAGGGTCTGGGAGTGAGGAGGGATCCCTTGGGAAGGAACTGAAGGCTGGGAATGTTTTTAAGATAGACATGATGGCACTGAGCTGTGTCCCTCCAGCATCAGTGAGTCCCAGGGATGGGGAGCGCTGGGCACAGGGTCCAGCCTCATCCCAGGAACACACCACCACCCGCTGCTCCCTGAGCACTGCCCTCATCCCCCCTGCCCCAAGAAGACAACCAAGCACACCAAGTACCTTGGGAAGTTTTTAATTGCACTGTGAGCACAGGGCAGGTCACCACAGAAGAGAACTGAGGACTGAACAGAACAAAGTGGTCTCAGCTTTGAGTGGCAGCAGAGAACAGAAGGAAGTGCTCTAGGCCAGCTCCTGCCTCCCCCTCAAGCTGCACCTTCACTACTGTAGTGGTGATGTGGAGGCACTGGCCAAACGTAGGAGGGGGAAAAGAAAAAAAAAAAAGGGGAGCAAGTTTCCCTTTGACTGCCCTCTCCTCTCCTGGAAAAGGGAGTCTCCACAGCCAGCACCCACCCCAAAGTGGTTGTGTACCCACACCCCTGCCACCTCAAGCCATGCCAAGACAGCAGAGACCCCCTGAATTGACACTAATTCACAAAGGCTTTTAATTCCCTTAAGCAGGTCAGTTTGGAGCCAGGGACACCCATCAGCAGCTCTCTAGCTAGGATACCACGAGCATCAGCACAGGCCTGAACACAGGGACACGGAGCAGGGATGGTGACATTGCCAGTGGTCAGAGCAGGACACGGGTTCAACTCATTAACAGAACAGAACTACAGCACCGTGCCCAGCCCCAGCCCGGGCCCTACTTCCCCGAGAGCTGCTCGTAGAGCTTGGGCACGTAGTCATCCCACTCGGCCTGGTAGCAGGTGCCCGCCACCGGCGCCCCCAGCCCGTACTTGCTGCGGAAGGCGGCCACCTTGAACTTGCCGCGCTTGTCCCCGGAGCGGTTGGACAGCACGGGCTCGCTGCAGGCCAGCTGCTGCGGCTGCTCGTACACCAGCCACACGTAGCGGTGCAGCCCTGCGGGGAGCGACAGCGTCACCGGGCAGGCTGGATCCCTGCAGCTTCCTGCAGGCTTCCCCCCACCCTTCTGCACGGGCTGTGATCCATGCAGCAGCACCTGGGAGCTGCTGCAGGTACCCACCTGTTCCCTTGGGAGGCCCGGAGCCAACATAATCCGACATCACGGTCCCGCTGCCCACGTTGTTGCCCTTCATGTTGGTCACCAGGAAGTGATGCCACTCTCTGAAAGGAGAAGGCACAGAACAATCACACTGGCAGAGCTGCAGATAAGAGCACTCTTTGTCACTCCCAGCTGCTGCTTTTCCATGAGGCTGTCAGCACGGGGTAAACAAAGAGCTTGTGGGAATCCAGAGCTTCCCTCTGTCTGCCCTGGCAGGTCTGGGACCCTGGCAGGGATCAGGAACCCCCCTGGACAGAGCCCCAAGAGACACTGTCTGTGATCTCTGTCCATGGAAAAGAGTTTTCAATCTTACAGGATCAATTACCAGCTCTGAGTGTTTGATAAGAGTAATAATTAAGTGTGACACGAGTGCAAAAGTAAAATTTTAAGTTTCTAGATTAGGGGTTCAGAGGGGACAAGATGGAGGAAATTGGGTGTGTCTTGTCCTTTTTCTCCTTCTTCATGCCCTCCGTGTTTCACTGTGGTGTTGGCATTTTTCTGTTGGTTCAGGCTGGGGACACACTGTCCAACGTAGGTGACAGATATTGGCACGTTATTGTAAATCCAGCACAGGTAGTTTGTGGTATTTAATGTTTGTACCATCCCACTGAGGGCAGAGCCCCACACGCTGCCCTGCAGGACAGAGCTGCGGCAGGGCAGCAGAACATGTTAGAGATAAACAGAATAAACAACCTTAAAAACAGCACAAACGAATTATGGCTTCTTCTTTGGCAATGGGGCAGAAAGACAGAGACTTTCTACAATCTCAGAATCACCAATACCCACAGATTCCGACAAGAGCTGTCACTCCTGGTTTGCCAAACCCGAAGAACACCAGTCCCAGAGCAGGCACCGCTTTATTGGGATGCACAACATGCCAAAACAAGTTCCACGTGGCTGCAGGAAACCCACAGCCTCATCTCTGAGAGTGGGGATTCCACACACTCCTGAGGCTGACTTGAGGAAGGTGAGCTGGTCGCAGATTTAAGATTCTGCTGTCAGCAAAGACCTAATTTCAACTCACATACGTGCTAAACTAGAGCAAGCAGTAAATGCTGTGCTGCTCCAGCTACAACAGACCTCTGAGCATCCCTGATAAGAGCAGCTGCTTCTCCCCATGCTGTCCCTGGCTCAAGGAGAGACGCAAGGACACGATTTCTATGACAAGCCACAGCTCCACAGCTGCACCTTAGGTGGAGCACAGTGCCACCTCCTCCTTAAGCCTCTGCTCAGCCCAAGAGAGATGCTCCTTTTCCCCACGCAAGCCACGGAGCTGTCCATTACCATCACCTGAACTTTGGATCCTTCCGACTGGGCGCATCAGGGTCTGTGAGAACCAGCGTGTAAAGCTTCTGGGGATCGCAGCCGTCCCACTCGATGCTGGTGGGGCGATGCTGGACCTGCAGGGATGACAGCGTTAGCACCGGCCCCGCTGCCAGCGCCTGCCCTGCACACAGGGCCGGCATGACTTGTGCTGGCAGCGCCACCGAGGGGCTCAGGGCCATTTGTGCCTGCTCGCCCTGGCTGTGAGGGCCTTCCCTCCTGCGGCACGGCTGCCCGCACAGCGCAGCCCCTCTCCCTGCGGGGAAGCTCCGGCGGCAGCGGAGGAGGCCCGACCGCATCCCGCCATTTTGCCGCGCCACCCCCGCGCGCAGGGCCGCGTCCGCTCACCTGAGTGGGCGTGAGCACCTTGCCCAGCTCGTCGATCTCCACGGAGCCGTACTTGACCCTCAGCGGGTGCGCCGGTTTCTGCTCCACCTCGGCGAGGCTCAGCGGCCCGTCCCACTTGGCCAGGTCCACCGGCATGGCGACACTTGCGGCTGCGACGGCGGCGGCTCCGGGCTGCCCCTGCGCCTTGGCGGAGGCACCGCCCCGCTCCGCTCCCATTGGTGGAGATGCCGCTATGCTCCCCTTCCATTGGTGGAGACGCCGCTATGCTCCGCTCCCATTGGTGGAGACGCACGGCCGGCCTCCCCCGCGCCAGATGTATAGCGCCCCCAGGCGGAGCCGAGGGGGACCGACCGAGCTCCGGTTACCTGGGCTAGCACTGTCGCCCCTACTGCTAATTAGGTTAATTAATAATTAATGTACCACGGCCCAGTGGGGCAACCCTGTGGGTCTCAGCGCTCTGTTTCACGCACGCCTTGGCGCTTCCAAGCTGCCATGTGTAAGGTATCCTGAAGAAACCCGAGGATAGTTGCGTGGTTACGATCCTCGCTGCGGGGTTACACAGAGGAACAAGCGTTTATCTCTGCTCTGCGGCTTGTGGGGTGTCTCTGAGTGGATGGATTAGAGCAGCCCTCTGGATGTGAGGGTCGCTTAGCGCTCAGGGAACACCGCTCAGCACACACCGCTCAGCACACACCGCTCAGCACACACGGCTCTCTCCGGTTCAAACCCTCCCGATCCCGGGCGGCACCGCCGGCCCCGCTCCGCTGAGGCCGCCCCACATGGCCGAGGGGGGCGTGAGGTGACCCCAAGATGGCGGGCGGGGGGGGTCCCAAGATGGCGGCCGCCGGTTCTGAGGCGTCGGGACCCGGCGGGCGGACAAACCCCGTCCCGGGCCCCTCACGGGCCCTGGCGGGCGGGTCCCCCCGGTCGGGCACGCCCGTTCTTCCTCCCCAGGCCTCTCGCCGGGGCGGCGGCCGGGCAGCACCGCCTCCGCGGGGCTCTGGCGGCGGCACACGGCCATGCAGCGCCTGGGCGGGATGCTGCCGGCGCGGCTCTTGCTCGCCCTTTGCTTCTGGAGGCTGGTGCCGCGCCGGGAGGCCGCAGGTAGCGCGGGCTGAGGGGAGCAGGGAGCTGTGTCCCCTTTCCTGATGTGCGCTGGATGTTTTTAGTCACCTCAGAGGTCCCTCAGCAGTGCCCTAACAAGCACCTCAGAGGGCTGACACAGATGAGCTATCCAGCTCTTTGCCCATTCCTTCCATCCCTAACGCCGTCCCTTCTCTCTTGCAGGAACAGATGAAGTGGTCTTTGGGCAGCTGGGAGGAAGCATCCTCCTCTTGTGCCGCAACGTGTCGAAGGAAGCCACCGAGGTGGTCTGGTTCCAGGGGGATCCGCACTCCTTCCCGCCTCTCTTCTCCTCGAGGGTCTCCTTCCCCCCGGACGTCCGCTTCTCCCTGGTGGACAACAGCTCCCTGAGCATCTCGGAGCTGCGTGTGCAGGACGAGGGCAACTACACCTGCAGGGAAGTGCTGAACAAGACGGACCATGAGCACAGGGTGCAGCTCCTGGTGGCCAGTAAGTCATCCCCACAGCTGAGCTTCCTCCCCTCCGCCTTCCACATCCCCAAAGTCATCTGGCACCGGTGGAAAAATAATATTTAGAAAGTGCAAACGGCTTTATGGTGCAGCATCTTTCTCACATCCGCTCACAAGCACCAAAATGTGTGTCCAAGTGGCCTGTCACAGGTCTGGCATATGCAGGGGAAATGCCAGCTCTCAAGTCCTCACTGTGTCTCTTCTTTGTGAGTTTTTGGGCGCATCTTCCATTCTCTGTACCTGTTCCAGGGGGACCCTTTGCCTCAGAGTCTGATTGACTTGAGTCTCCATAAAACTTGGGGTAGGGATGCTGCTTACTGTCTGCTTTCCCTTGTTTGGGGTAGATGTGCTGGGTCATCCTTTTAGTGGGAGAACTCTTCCCAGCTGAGAAGTCTTACATTGATGGAAGCACGAAATTCCTCAGGTTTATGTGGGAGCAGTGTCCTGAGAGTGTACCTGTTATCAGCACAGGCTAGTTCTTTCAGCCCCTCTGTGTCTTCTGGTGCTCTCTCCCTTTTCCATCTCTATTTCATCCATTCATTCCCTTAGAAATGTTCAGAGCACAGGTAGAAGTCAGGCTGGAAAGTGCTCCAGCAATTAATCCTTCCTGCTTCTGCCAGGGAACCATTATTTTGCCCTGATGCCTCATGTATTCCATGGGAACAGCCCCCTCCAGATCTGCTGCCACTCTTAGTCCCTTTAGGATTGAGAAGAGGGAAAATCCTCTGCATTTTGACCCTCTGTACTCCCTTGGCCCTTTCCTTTCTTGCTGTTCTTTCCATGTGTGAGACCTGTTTGCCTTCAGGGTGTTCCTTCCTTCTACCTGTGTGTAAACACTGCACCTGTTCTGTACAGATTAACCTCTTGAAAGTTTACAGGAGTAAAAGTTCTCTTCCTGCAGCAAGGAACGTGCAGGTGGAGGTGTGGAAGGATTGAACCCCAGACTGCTTCAGGGAATAGATCTGTAGGCACTGGGCTGAGGAGTGGGGAGCCCCAAATCTGGAGCACTGGGGCAGAACACTTGGGAGTCAAACATATTTATGGGGTGTCATGTGTGTGCTGCACTCTGGATTTAATTTGTTAGTTTGAAATTAATTGTGTCAATTCATTTCCAAGTACAATGAAGGTGATGTGGGCATAGCCTTTGATAGTGAGAAGGAGATTTCTGGAGATGCTTTAGCTCAGCAGGAGGAGCATCAGGAAAAGTTAGAAGTTCAACCTCTGACCTGTAGCAGGCCCCCATTTTTTCACATCTCTGTTGGTGGAACATTTTACCCTGGCCTGGAGCAAATTTTGGACACAGACTTGGCACTGCTGTGGATATGCAGAGGTTTTGTGTGGGAATAACCAGCTGATAGTCTTCAGCCCATCCCATGGGCGGTACCAAAAAGTTCTCTTTTTGTTTAAATCTGCACTTTGGAAACCTCACGAGCAGTAAACATTCTAGTGACAGGACAAAGGTGCAGCCCTGCCTTGGGCTGTGGTTCTGTGTTTGTTTTGGATGGGAAGGAGACGTGCAGCTCCACACCTCCAGGGATTCCTTGGCACATCTGTGTGTGGGTTGATGCAAGAACTGTTGGCTCTTCTGTGGGTCAAACCACAACAGGTCCTTTTTGCTGGTGTTTTGGGAGGGTGGAGATTTTTAAGCTTTTGGTTTGTTAACTTTGTGGGAACAGATTTCTTTAGACAGAGCTGTGCTGGGAGAGCCTGAGAGTTCAGGATGTAAAGTTGATGGTTTCAGGAGTCTGTTCCTGAGGTCAGGACACAAAGTTCAGCCCTGGCTGGACATCCTGGAGGGGCTGTGTCCACCTGGATGTCCTGGAGGGGCTGTGTCCCACTGATGTTGGGCAGTTTCTGCTGGTTCAGGCTGACAGGATGCCCTATTAACCACAGCCAGGGTTTGGGATGAGTTTGATCCTCCCCAGACATGGGACACAAGGAGTGTTGCAGAGAACTTTCTTGCCAGAGCTGGGTGGTTTCAAAGATCACCTGAGGTGTGTGTACAGTTCCTACAGAGACAAGCCCTGGGAAGGTGTGTTCTTGGAGCTCACACCAGGGTTTGCCATGATGGTTTTTTTATTAATTCAAGTAATTTCAAAGTCCTGTGAATAAATACTCCCCAAAATAAGCCTCAGACATCCCTCTGGCACCTCTGGCGTGGGGCTTGTTTTGGTTTGATCTCTTGGTGGAGTCTTGTTCAGCACTGCATTAGGCACACACAGGGGCATGGCCTGTTAATTCTGCCTGGATCAGAGTCCAGATTCCCTCTGGCTGTTAAATCAGCACGTGTGTGGATCGTGTTTGGAAGGAGCAGCTGGGAGAGAGCCAGGACTCTGCCTTGCTCTCAAGTGAGGACTCAGTGTCCCTCCCTGGTAACTGTGCCAGGAGGACCAGGGCAGTGGGATTTCATTGTCCTGCTGTGTTTATCTCATATCCATTGGATGAAGCTGTGGCAATCATTTTTTCCCTCCCTCAAGGCTTGGTTGTGGGGACTGTGACAGCCCCTCTTGGTCCCTGCTGGCTGTCACTTACTGCTGTGCACACCTGGGGCTGTGGGATGCAGATCAGGGAGCAAGACCTGCAAGGAAAGAGTTTTCAAGGGGAATGATGACAAATTAATTCCAGCCCTGCAAGTGTTTCTCACCACGTGCTGTCCTTGCTGGTAGATCCACCACAGGCAACCCCAAAGTGCTGGGCTGAGAGCTCCTCATCGGGGCTGATGCTGCAGCTGTTCTGCAGCTGGCCCGGGGGGTACCCCCACCCCACCCTGCACTGGAGAGAAGAGGGGCAGGATTTGGAGAACTCCAGCTGGGTCATCAGCTCCACCAGCTCCTCAGACACCCACGTGGAGACACTGAACAGCTCTCACCTCTCCCACCGAAAAGTCTTCAAGTGTGTGGGCAGCCACGTGGTGAAGCAGGAGCAGCCTACTTGCACTGTGGAGATAAGTGAGTGGATTTGCTGCCTCATTAACTGCTAATGAAGCTGGGGAACGGGGGGAGGTGGGTACCCTGGTCATTCCCTGCTCTCCAGAGCACTGAGGAGGTCGAGGAGGCAGGAGTTGGCATGGCAGGGCACCTGAGGCACAGATGTCCTGCAGCTGATATCCATCACGGAAGAGTTGTAGGTGAGCTGTGTTTTGGGCCCATCTTCAGGGGCCAACAAATTTCACCCCAGCAGTGTTTTCACCTGTGGAAAGCTCCCACACACCTGTGTGAGAGTGAGAAGTGTTTGGGGGCTGTGGGCAGCTTGAGATGAGGTTTGGTAAGGGTGGGTTTAAGGGTTGTGTGTGCCCTTCAGACATCTCGGGGATCTGAGCGGCTGATGGAAATCTGGGCTGTATTTATCCTCCAAGGGTTGTCAAGGCTTCACAAGAGCTCTGCTGATTGAAAGTAATGCCTGGGCTGCTCTTCTCCTCTCTGCCATCTACCTGCTGGCTCCCCGCAGGCCATTTTTCCCTGGGGGTGTGAAGACAGGTGTCAGAGGGGACTGAGCACCACGAAAGCTGCTCAGGTCACTCCTTGGGAGGCTCCTGAGTGAGCCAAATGCTGACTCCCAGACTCCCGCCTGCCTCCCTTCTGTTAATGATTATTAATCAGCCAGAAGCTTGATTGCTCGTTATGTTAATTGCCTCCATTCCCTCCTTGACTCCTGTTTTTGTTTTCTTTTCCCCCGGGGCTGTTCAGAACGCCCTTCCCTGGAATCGGAGCCCCCACAGACCTGCTTTGTGGGTGACAACGTGACCCTGACCTGCCGGGTGACCGAGGGCACCCCGGCAGCTCGGCTCAGCTGGCTCCGGGACATCACCCAGCCCGAGGTGGAGATCCAGCCTGGGGGGAGGTTCCTCATCGCCCAGGAGGGCAACGTGTCCCGGCTCACCATCCAGAACTGCTCCCAGGGCGCTGACGGCGGCTGCTACGTCTGCAAGGCCCAGAACCCCGTGGGGCTCAGGGAGCTCTTTGTCTGCCTCACGGTGAAGCGTGAGTGGGGCTGTGGCAGGAGGGCCTGGGGACACTGCACACCTGCTCTTTGGTTTGCAAAGTTTGGTTTTCTCTGAGAATTCCTCATCCATCTGTGCCCCCTCTCTGCAGAGCCGGTGAACATCGTTGGGGTCGTGGGTGCTGTGGTGGTCCTGTCCCTCCTGACTGTTCTCACTGTCACCGGGGTTGTGTTGTACTACAATCCCCTTCTGTGCCTCAGAGGTAGGGATTGGTTAGGGATTGGTTCCTTCTTTCTGGGGTCTATCCCTAACCCACTTGTCCCTCCCCGTGTGCTGGAGTCAGTCAGGGTTGCCTGTGCCGTGTCTGGGCAGGTCACCTCCACGTCCATGCCTCTGCACGGGGCTGCCAGTGACCATCTGGGGGAGGCACAGACATGGAGGCAGGATTGGCAGGGGTTGTCCAGTCCACTAAAACCAGTGGCACTCCCAGAGGGGCAGTTTCTAATGTTGTCTCTCTTTTCTCTCCCATTGAGGTGCTGCGTTCAGGTGAGTTGACATTCCTCAGCCCAGTCCCTCATGGCATCACTACTCAGCCTTCCTGTAGGGCAGGGAACAGGCTCTCCTCAGCCTTTCGTCCAGCTTGCTCTGCTGTTCCCAGGAATGCAGACTCAGGGGATGTCTTAGTGCTGGTGGACTCTGAAGATGATGAGGAGGGGAAGGGGTTCGAGGAGCCCCTGAGCAGCTGCACCGAGCACGAGGCCATGGCGCTGGTCGGTGGGAGCAGGGCCCAGGCTGCTCACCTGAACCACCTCACAGAAGGTGAGGAGCCACCTGCTCCCTGCTGAGCTCTGGGTCTTCCCAGAGCAGCTGCCAGGGAGGGAGGAATTCTTGGTGGCTGTTGTAGCTGAGATGCTGCTGCTCTGTGCCCTGTGTAGGTGACGATGACGAGCTCCCTGGTGGGGTCTCTGCGCAGGAAGTGAGAGAAGAGAGAGACACGAGGCTCACAGCTTCTATCCCTCCTTGAGGAAGCACACAGAGCTCCAGCTGGAATCCAGCATCAAGCAGGCCATCACTGTGTGTGGCTGAGCACAGGCTGTCAGTGTCCTGGCCCAGGACACTTCAGACAGAGCCTTCCACCTCTCTCTCCACCTGCCCCTTCCACAGTTTCACTCCGTCCTTCTCCAGCCATGTTTCTCCATTTCTTCTCTTCCATTTTCCTCCTTATCTTGGGTGTCCCTAAAACACATGGGACCACCCCTTCACTTCAATGCCTGTGATGGACTCGAATTCCTGTGTGGGATGAGCAGCTCTGGGATGGACAAAGTCACCACGGGGCCACAGTGGTCCTGTGACAAGGGGAGAAATGAGGGCTCTGTGGGCAGGACATGGCTGACACTGACTCTGGGGAGGCTGAATTGTTTGTATTATAAATATTTTTCCCTTATTCCTTCTGCAGTGTTTCTCTGTGTCCAAGTCAGGAGTTAATCTGTTCCTTGTCAAGTGTGCATGTAGGGAAAGGGGGCCATGAGCACACATACGGGGGGACAGAGGGGCCTGACAGCACACAGGGGATCACAGGGGATCTGATGGCCCGTGCAGTGGAGGGGAAGCACTCCTGGGACACGCAGAGAGAGGCAAGGTCTGCGCTGTGGGTGAAGTCAGGGGTCTGAGCCATCCCTGGCGTGTCAGAACAGTGGGAGCTGGAGCAAGATGAGTGGGACAGGGAGGGGTGGGGATGGTGGTTGGGGTCTGGCTGTGCACAGTGGTCTCTGAAGGGACAGAGGGTTCTCAGGGGCTGGAGCGGGTCTGAGGGCTGGAGGGAACGGAGTGTGGGTGGAAGGGAAGGATGGGATGGTTTGAGGGCTGGGAGTAGGATCCTCCCTGCAAGCAGCCCTGGTGCATTCCCTGTGCCCGGCACCGCGGAGCCAAGCCAGGAAAATCCCAGGGAGCTGCGGGAGCCTCTGGCTGCCCCTGGCAACTCTGTTGTGCTGCCAGCACCTCGGCTGTCCCCGTCCCAGCTCCCCGCAGGCTCCTGGGCGAGGAGGAGGCACCGGCCGAGATGGACTCGGAGCTGGAGGAGCGGTTGCAAGAGGCTTTCCGGGACAAGCTGCGGCTGCTGTGAGTGACACCCCTCGGTCCTCCCCGTGACAGGTGACCAAAGGGTTGGCAACCAGACCAGCATGTCCTGCGTGCCCCGTGATCGGTTTGTGTTCCCATCTCCGGGTGCCGCGCCACTGGGTGGGTGTAGTGTCCCCAGCTGAGGCTCCCAGGGAGGAGAGGACACTGCAGCCATGGGCAGCAGCAGGCAGGTTCTAACAACAAAGCTGAGATTGTGGTGTGGCTTGCCCTTCCCTGGGGAGCAGCACTGGTGCTGGGGAGCTCCAAGTACGGGAGGCTGAAGTGGGAGGGGTGGGCGAGAAGATGAATGCAGGCAGGGCTAAGCCTGTGTGGCTCCTGCCGAGCCCTGGCTCCCCGGGCTGAGCCCCGCGGACAGCGGCGGCCCGTGGGACGGTGGCAGATCCCTGCCCAGGCTTTCCCCCCGCAGCCCGGCCGAGCTGCACGCAGCCCGTGGCAGGACGGCGGCACCGCGGGACCTCGCCACGCTGCCGGCATCCACTCGTGTGCTCCTGAAGAGGCGGGAGGCGGCGGAGGTGGAGCGGCAGCTGCAGACCCAGCGGCAGGTGAGGGCGGCCCCAGCCCCCCGGGCGCTGCGGGTGTGCCGTGGGGACAAGGGGGCTGGCGGGTGTCCCCAGCTCCCCGCGGGCTGTGCACAAGCGGGGGGCGATGCTCTCGACACTCTGCAATCCCACAGGAGTTCCAGCAGCGGATGCAGCGCCTGGCGCAGCGCCGGCAGCAGCTGGCCCGGAGGCAGGAGCAGCACCGCGGCGCCGTGCTCCGATTTGACTCCTTCCTCAAGGTGCGGGGCTGGGGGCCGGGCCGGGCGGGCCGGAGGGTGCCCCTGACCCGGTGACACGGCGCAGGCGGTGGCGGCCCGGCGGGAGCGGGCGCTGCGGCGGGCGGGCGAGGAGCGGGCGCGGGCGGCGGCGGAGCGAGCCGAGGCCGCCCGGCTGCACCGGGAGCTGGAGCGGCTGCGGCGGCACCGGGAGCGCCTGGCCCGGCGCCTGCGGAGCCTCCGGCCCTTCGGGGACTACCTGCGGGACGTGCTGGCCACGATGGGGCAGGTGAGCTCCTGCGGTGCCACCCTGCGTGTCCCCGAGCCCCTTGCAGGGGTCATCCCTCCAGCCGCTTCCCACTGCCCAGTTCCAGGACGTGCCGGCCATGCTGGTGCACTTCGGGGTGCTGGCGGGGGTTCGGGCAGCCCTGGCACGGGAGGCAGAAGCCGGGCAGGAGCAGCTGGCCCGGGGCAGGGCACAGCTCCAGCGGTACCGTCAGGAGAGCAGCACCCAGCTCCTGGGCACCAGGAACGAGCTGGCCCGGCTCCACGCACGCCTGGAGGCTGCTCGCCGAGATGTGCTCCAGTGGGTAAGGGGGATGTGGGCTGCCCAAGGACCCCCAGGGAGAGGGGCAGCAGTACAGACCCCAGGTGTGCTGCACAAGGGAGATGCCCAATGCGGTCGGTGAGGTGCCAAGTTGGGCTGCAGCCTTCTGGGCTGAGCTGAGGATACCCACATGCCCAAAAAGCAGCAGCTCTGCCTGGGGGGGATACACAGCCAGGACTCCTGGGTCCCCCTGGCCTGGCCTGGGGGGTGCAGAAGGACACAGGGCAGTGGCCAGGGGCTCACTCTGTCCCCCAGGAGTCCTGCTGGACCCACATCCAGAGCACAGCCATCCAGAAGACCCTGCTGCTGGGGCAGATCAAGCTGGCTGTGCTGAACCTCTTCCAGCAAACCACTGCACAGCTCAGGATTCCCATGGACAGAGCCCAGGAGGACACGAAGGCCCAGCTGGACATGGTCAGCACAACCCTTTCCCGGGGCAGTGGGGCTGGGGACACACAGGGGCATTTACATCCCTGGATGGCTGTGGCATCCATCTCCCATCTCCACAGCTGCTGCTCTGCATGCGGGCCCTGGCTGACATCTGTGCCACTGGCCCACACCCACAGCACCACAGGAGTGTCAGGCTGCTTCAGGGCCAGGAATAGCCCCTGGGGACACCTGCCTGCTCCTGGGGCTGGGGAGAGGCTGCCAGGGCCAGCATGGAGCCACAGGACCTGTGGGGATGGAGGTAATTTCCTGCAAGTCTGAAAACCCCATGTCAAGAGGCCACGTGAATGGCAGTGGCACAGTCACACTGGGGTGACACCACACCCAGGCAGGGTCAGAGCACTCCCGAGGTTCCCTCCTGCACAGAGCACCCCAGGCAGGAGCACGAGGAGGAGGGAGCTGCTGTTGGCATCTCTGAAGGTGATTCACGTCAAAATACATCAAAATACATCCAGCTGTGCAGCCGCAGCACCCGCTTGTTCTTGTGTCTCTAGGGAAGGAATTACCCCAGACACAATGCTTGGAGCAAGGACAAAGAGAAGCCGGGATGCAAAACCAACCAATATTTACTGTCCCCTTCCCCAGCTCCCAGCCCAGACGTGTCCCCTACATCCTCTTCCTCAGCTTGCCCTTCTTGGCAGCGCCCGCCCGGCGCCCGAAGGCCATTTGCCGCAGCTCCTGCACGCGCTGCCGGTTGCGGGCCTTGAGGCGCTTCAGGCCGCCGCTCTGCAGGAAGCGCTGCTTGGCCGCCTTCTTGCGCTGCTTCAGGATCTGCTGCTTGTTCTTCAGCTCCGAGCGCACCCTGCCCTGCGCCGGGGGCTGCGCGGCGCCTGCGGGGACACGGCTGCGCTCAGAGCCGGGCTGAGGGAACAACGCAGGGCTCTGCTGCTGGCTTCAGGTACTCACCCTGCCCACGCCTGTGCTTCCCCCTGAACTGCTCCCTGCTGCGTGGCCCTTCCTCATCCTCATCCCGCTCGTCAACCTTGTACTTCTGCTTCCACTTCTCATAGCTGGGACGGGCGTGTTAAGGGAACATGTGGTGACTCTTCCCTTGACCCTGTGCTGTGGCTGTGGGACTGTGCTCCCTCCCCTGGCTGCTGCCCTGGCAGGGGATGGAGCCCTGCCACGTGGGTCCAGCCCAGGCAGGCAGCAGTGCCCATGGCAGGATACAGGTTGTTCTTGTAGGAGCTGCTGATGTAGCGCCCGCTCTCCGTCCGCACCTTCTTCTTGTCCTCCTGGCCGGTCTGCCCCACAAACCGCTTCTTCTTGCGGTCCCTGTGAGAGACAGAAGGGTGGTGGGACCCAGCAGTGCCACCCCCAGCCCTGAGTCTCCCTCCAGCCCATGGGCAAACCCCACTCACCACTTGAGCAGCTGCTTGTTCTTGTTGAGGTTGTGGTTCTCGTCGCCCATGAGATCCAGCACGGCCCCGGCTGCCTGCTGCTCGAAGGCGCTGCCCTCGCCACCCACACTCAGCCTGCAAAGCGGGGTGATGAGAGCAGCCCCCACACAGGCTGGGAGGGGACAGCAGCAGGAGCCCCCCCAGACTTACCCCCGCTCACTCTCAAAGTCCTTGGGCCGGTATGGGATGTAGAAGTCCTCAGCCTGCTGTGCCGGCTGCTGCGGCTTTTTCCTGGGACCATCTTCCCCTCCTCGGCCCCGTTTTCGCTTCTGGCCCCCCACATTGGAGAACACGTCCTGGATGGGGACAGTGGAGGGGTTTGGGAGCCAGGTCCCCCCAATGTCCCCACAAGTCCCTGCACCAACCCCCAAGCTCCAGCACAAACTGGGGGCCCTGGTGCTGCCAGCACTGGGCCAAGGCAGCTCTACAGCAGTTCCTGCATCCATGACCCAATTACCTGGAGGTCTTCCTGCTCTCCTTCCCCATCCTGGGGCTCGGGAGCAGCCGGGCACAGCCCCTGCCCTTTAAGTGCTGCTGCCCGCTTCTCCTGCTGCCCACGCTGGAACTTCTCAATCAGGGCACGGTCGTGGCGCCGCTTTGATCGCATCACGGTGCTGGCCGGTGTCCGGGATGTGGCGTTGATCTCAAAGATGGTCTGTCCCCAGGGCAGGAGCATGATTCCCAGTGAGCCATGTGGGTCTCCCCTCCCCTCCCCTGCCCTCTGTCTCAACTCACCGCCTTGGACTTGTAGGTTTTAATGCTATCCACCAACTTCAGCCTCTGCAGCTCGGTGTCTTCGAAGCGAGCTCCTGGGAAGGCAGGCAGAGAAGGGCACAGATCAGTTTCCTGGGGAGGGAATGGGGCCTCCTCCCTCGGCACCCCCTCAGCACTCACTGAAGAGGGGGTGCATGCCCAGCTGGGACACATCCAGGTCCTTGGCCCTCTTGATGGACTCTGGCGAGGGGCCGGGCCGGGAGCGCAGGTACTGCTTGTGGGCGTTGTCGGCGACGCGGCGGAGGCTGCGCAGCTCCAGAGAGCCCTGGTGGTCCGTCAGCAGCAGGCATTCCTCGTCATCCACCAGGCTCTGCGGGACACGGCCCAGCACCCCGCCAGCATCTGCAGCCCAGGGCACACCGTGTCACCTCCCAGCACCCACCCTGGATGTCCCAGAGCAGAGCTGACAGCTCCAGGGAGCTCAGCACTGTTTAATCAGCATCCCCCACACACAGGGTCTATCGCAGCCCCCAACACCCCATTCTCCCCGTCTGTGTGAGGGCCCACCACAAGACCACAAACTCCAGCACTGGCCAAGGATAACACCCCAGTGGCCACAGCCACCCCTCACCTGCAGGCATCTCCTGGGCTCCAGCAAGGACGAGCGGGCGGCCCAGGAAGAGGTGGAGGTCGAACACGTAGGGCATCTCGTCGGGAGCCACCAGGGAGTAGGCAGTGCCACTCCGGCCAGCTCGGGCCACGCGACCTGGCACGGGCAAGAGGAGAATGGGAAACCATACCCAGCCAGCCCAGCCTGGCCCCACCCAGCCAAGGCATCCCTGGTGTCCCTGGCAGTCTGCACATGCGACATTTACCGTGAGGGCATGGCTGGCAAGGGGCTGTGGGTGACTGGGTAAGGGGCAAGGGGAAACTCTACAGGGAAGATACCAGTCCTGCCCCCAAGAGCTCTCACAGTCCAGCTGGGACATCACTGACACTGCTTGTCCCCAGTCTGTCCCTCAATATCTCAGCACAGCTGGGCACTGGCACTCACCAACACGATGCAGGAACAGCTTGCCCTTGGCAGGGAAGCTGAAGTTGATGACATTGTCCAGCATGGGGATGTCCAGCCCCCGGGCGGCCACGTCGGTGACCAGCAGCACTGGGCACTTGCCCTGGGAGAACTTGGCAATGTTGATCTTGCGGGCAGTCTGGTCCAGAGAGCTGTAGATGTGGGTGCAGCGGATGCCCTGTGCTGTCAGCAGCTGGGAAGGAGGGAACAGAGATTGCATGGGTGTGCCCTCAGCAGAGAGACAGGGCCAGAGACTCCAGAGTGGCCACCTGGACCTCCAAATCCCACTGTGCTCCCTTCTCCCTCTGAGGGGTGAATGGATGCAGCACCTCCATGATCACATATTCTAGGGTTTCTCCTTCAACCCAGTGAAACAGATGGAGATATTCCACCAGGGACCTGCCCCAGCTGCAGACCCCAAATGGGCACCCTCAAATGCCACGTACCTCCCTCAGATACTCCGTGTGGTGCTTGGTGGCCACAAAGACAACTGTCTGGTCCTGGGGCTTCACCACGCTGCGGAGCAGGTGGAGCAGCACGGCCGGTTTGTCGTCCCCGCGCACGTGGAAGAACACCAGCTGCAGCATGAGGACAGTGCTCAGCCCCGTGCCACCACTGCCACCCTTGTCCCCTCCTCAGGGCCACATGGCTTGCAGGGGATAGGGGCACAAAGCCCATCTTGGACTCCCCCCACCCATCTCACCTTGAGCTGCTCACTCAGCTTGGACTCCACATCCAGGCGGATCAGCATCGGCTCAGTGAGGCCTGTGGTGACACACAGCACATGGGTCACTCACGGGCTGTCCTGCTGGGGACACCCACTTGGCACAGCATTAATCCAGGATGGTTTTCCCAGTGCTGGGCTCGGCCTGGCTGCAGGACTGTGCCGTGTCCCTGCCCCCAGCTCCTCACCAGCCCGGGCAAACTCGACGAGCAGCTTGGGCAGCGTGGCAGAGAACAGCACGGTCTGGTGGCAGTCTGGGAGCCGGGCGATGATCTCCTGGAGCTGCTCAGCAAAGCCCATCTCAAAGAGCCTGCAGGGGAGGGGATGTGGGACATGGCAGGTCCCTCCCTGCCACTCCCTGGGCCTCTCACCCGTGTGGGGACACTGCCAGCCCTGGGGACACCCCTGTGCCCTGCTGACCTGTCGGCCTCGTCAAACACCACGTACTCCACGGTGTGCAGCTTCAGCTTCATCTCCACTGCCACGTGCACCAGGCGCCCAGGGGTGGCTATGATTCTGCAGGGACAGAGGTGGTGACAGGGCCAGGCCAAGGGGGAGGCAGTGTCCCCACACCATCCTGGCAACAGGTCCCAAATCCAACCCAAAGGCAGCACAATAGAGACCCTGCTGTCCCACAGGACGTTGCTCCAAGGGAACACCAGGAATGCCCATCAGGCACACCAGCTCTGAACACCAGTGATGTCCCCGGATGGCTGGTGGCCATTTCCCCACTGGGTCCACTCCTTGTGCCCCACTCACATGTCAGGGTTCTCATGCAGGGCAGCAAACTGGTCTTCCATCCTGTGAGAGAGGGGAGAGGCTGGGGTGGCACCGGGCAGCTCAGCCCCTCACCGGGTTTTGGGGAAGCTCAGGGAAGCAGGGATTGGAGGGGACAAGGGGACAGCTTACTTGTCTCCTCCCAGGATCAGGGCTGTCTTCAAGCCAGTGAACTTGCCCAGCTGCAGGGTGAGGAATACTCATTGGTGGCATGCAGAACCAAACCCACTGCCCCCGTTGTTCCCACTCGCCCCCAAGTCCCCTGTACCTCCTTGGTGAACTTGAGGGTCTGCAGGGCCAGCTCCCGGGTGGGCGAGAGGATGAGGGCGCGTGCCCCGGCCTGGCTGGGCGCCTTCAGCCGCTCGAACATGGGGATGAGGAAACACGCCGTCTTCCCGCTGCCCGTCCGGGCCATGGCCACCACATCCCGGCCACGCAGGATGGCGGGGATGGTCTGTGGGACACCACCGTCACTGCCGCGGTCCCACTGCCACCCCCTGGGACAGGGACCCACTGCTCCCCAGGCTCACCTTCCTCTGGATGGGTGTGGGCACCTTGTAGCCCTTCTTCATGATGCCCTTGAAGACAGGGTAGCTGAGGCCTAGGGGAACAGGGACAAGTGAGGGGGCATGAGCAGGAGGGGACAGTCCCTGTCCCAGGGACAGTTGTCCCCTGCCTCACACATACCCATGGACTGGAAGCCCCCGGATTTCTTCTTCTTCTGGTTCTGGGCCCGCACCATGGCCTGAGTGTCCAGTTCAGCATCGGCGCCATCGTCCTCCTCGGCGGTGGTAGGGAAGGCGGGCAGTGGGGTCACAGGCGCCTGGGGACAGTGGGGACACGGCTGCGGTGATGGGTCAGGGTCACTGCAGCTCTGCACTGCTGGCATGGCAGGCAGGGGCACCAGTGCCGGTGACTGTGGGCACTGGGGACACTGGCACTGGGACACGGGTACTGGGGACACTGGCACTGGGACAAGGGTATTGGCACTGGGACATGGGTACTGGGGACACTGGCACTGGGACAAGGGTATTGGCACTGGGACATGGGTACTGGGGACACTGGCACTGGGACAAGGGTATTGGCACTGGGACATGGGTACTGGGGACACTGGTAGTAGGGACGTACGTACCAGGAATACAGGCACTGGGGACACGGGGAGCAGGGACATGGGGAACAGGAACATGGGGTGCAGGGACACGGGGTACAGAGACACGGGGTACAGGGACACGGGGTACAGGGACACGGGGTGCAGGGACACGGGGGTGCAGGGACACGGGGTGCAGCGACACGGGGGTGCAGAGACACGGGGTGCAGGGACACGGGGGTGCAGGGACACGGGGGTACAGGGACACGGGGTGCAGGGACACGGGGTACAGGGACACAGGGGTACAGGGACACGGGGTGCAGGGACACGGGGTGCAGGGACACGGGGTGCAGGGACACGGGGTTACAGGGACACGTCTCACTCGGGCCCCGCTCCCGCCCCGCCCGTACCGGCGCTCCGCGGGGCTGGCGGCGGGCGCGCGGCGCCATGTCTGTACCGGCGGCGGAACCGCGTGTCGGGGGCGGCTCCGGAAGGGGCCGGGCCCGCTCCGCTCCGCTCCGCTCCGCCCCGGGGCCCGGCCATGCGGGCGGCGGGTCCGGCCCCGTTCGGAGGCTCTGCCGCCGCCGCCCGCGCTCCGCGGGGCCCCCGGGGCCGCCGCCGGGTGCGGCCGTCCTTCGTGGACGAGTCGCTGTTCGGCCGGCCCGCGGGGGCCCGCCCGCCGCCGCCCGCCTTCCCGCCGCCCTGGGCGGCCCCCGCGGCCGGCGGCTCCCGGCCCGGCAGCCAGTGCAGGTGAGCCGTGCCCGGGCCGCTCCCGCCGCCGCTCGGGGCTCGGGGCTCGCTCCGCCTCGGTGTCCCCGGGCCGCCGGCTCTCGGTCACTCACTCCCCCTGACAATCCCCGCTGTAACCCGCCCCTGTTTCTCCGCTTGTGCCCTCCAAGGTCCCGGAGCCACGCTCCGTCCTTCTGTGACGAGTCGCTGTTTGGTGCCAAGCCCCCGGGTCCTGCCCGGGCAGCTCCGCGGATCAGGAAGGAGGATGTGGCCAAGCTCCATTCGCTGCTCTGGAGCCCCCCGCCTGCTCCCCAGAACCAGCCTGGCCTTTCCCCACACCGCAGGGGGACTCCCCTGCGAGCCGTCCACCCGCCGGCCTCGTCCGAGCCGGGCCACGAGGAGAAGTCGTGTGGCTGGAGGCATCCCGGCAGCCACGCCTGCTCCAAAGGCTGCGGTGCTCCTGCCAGAGCACGTTCCCAGTCTGTCAGCCGGCTGAGCACCCCCCCGGACAGGACTCACCTTTCTTCCAACCTCGGCTCTGAAAGGTGGAAGAACCGGAGCACCCCAACAACCCCTGCTGCCCCCCAGGGCTCTCTGGTGAGGGGTCGGTCCAACAGCGTGTCCGGATCTCCCGTGCCCAAGAATGCCAAGGCAGCAGGTGGCTGCACTGCCAGACCCCCCTGGAAGTGATGCCAAGTGTCCCTCTGGATGTACATACAGCCTTAGGCTGCCTGAGGCCTCCCTGTGACCAAGCCCACGAGGACCCTGCGCCTTTCTGTGGCTGGAAAAGAAGGAAGGGGCTGTTCCATGCTGGGAGACACACCAGGAGCCAGAGGTGACAGCAGTGCTGGGAGCAGTGACCTGGTTCAGGGCACACCCCCAGGGCACCGGAGCAGGAGAGCCTGGTGGGAAGAGCTGCTTCCCGAGATGTCCAGGGGTTGTCAGAGGAGGTTCCTGCTGTCTGGGAGATCCAGCCGGGAGGTCAGAGCAGCAGGAGACAGGAGTACCCACAGTGCAGTCCAGGCACAGGTACATGGACAGTGCAGGGACAGTGCAGCTCCCTGGGGACAGGCAGGGGCCGTGCAGCTCCCAGAACAGGGGGTGCTGCTGGGATGGGGTCCCAGCTGAGTCTGGCTGGGACACTTGGGGTCTGAGAGCCCTGACTGGGACCTTTGCTGAGCTCATGTGGTGAGAGGCATCCTGCTCCATCCTCCTGCCTGTGGGAATGCAGGACATCCCTAGTCTGGCCTGCTCGAGGCAGTCCAAGGTGGTAGAAACCCCTAGGAATAGAGGCTGCACAGCCTCTCTGGCCTCCTTCCCACTGCTCCACTGTGCTCAAGGTGAAAATTCTCCCTTTATCCAGTCAGAGCCTTTCTAGTTTGATTTTGTGTCTGTTCATTCTGCACTCGAGCACAAACCTTGGCCCAACCCTCACGGCCGCCTCCTCTTTGCAGGTATTGAGAGGCTGCTGAGGCTCTCCCAAAGGGTCCCTTCTCCAGGAAATGAGCTCCATTCCCTCTGCCTCTATGCACAGCACGTGCCTTGGTGTCTCCCTGCTGTCCTTGCTTTGTGCCACCAACACCTTACGGACTCCTCTGACAAAGCAGGACAAGGGAGGACGAGCACAGAGGTGAGGGAAGCATTGCCCTGCATCCTGCTGGCAGTGGGACAGTCCCAGGCTGGATGGGGTTTGTGACAGAGAAGGATCTGCACAGGGATTTTGGCAGCTCGTGGTGTGAGGAGGTGCTGAGTAAATCCCTAATTTTGTGGCTGAGGGTTGTGAGGTGCTCACAGCAGTGCCACAGTGTCACCAAATAAGTGCTCCGAGACAAATCTGGGATCTGGGGCGTGCTGCTGAGTGATCTGGGCACCTCCACAGCTCCTCCACTTCCTTTGCTGAGCTGGGAAAGAGCAGCTCTGTGTGTTTGGAGATGCATAAAGGACATGGGGTGGGTGACTTGGATTTGCAGTCACTGCTCCCTGGGGAGGGAGGCTGCAGTGAGGAGCTGCTGAGGTTACTGGGAGTTTGGTAACTCCCATGCTGAGGGAAACGCTCAAATTCACCCAAGGACACGCCAAGCCAGGTTAAGAGCATCATTCTTCCCCCAGAAATTATTTTATTGCACCTTGAGCAGCAGCAGGGTTGGCCCTTGACCCACTCAGCAGGTGGAGCTGGAGCCAGCCAGGAGCCTGCACTGGGAGGAACTTCTGCTCATGTCTTGGCCTGACACGTAGCAAGAATAACCTGACATTAAAACCTGAGAAGGTGAGTGAGGATCCTTGTGATTTGCTCCGAGCTCTCGGATCTCTCCCTGTGCTTCCCACTGAGGCAATCCTGCAGCTCTTCTCCACCTGGGGTAAAACTGGAAGGACAGGAAACAATTTGGCCTTGTCCGAGGAGGGGCTGGGAGTGCTGGTGTCAGTCCGAGGCTGACCAGCTGTGTTTGGGATGTGGGCACAGTGACGTGCAAGCTGTGGAGGCTGCAGGTCTCACGGGGCTGGGAGAGTCCAGATGTGATTTGGACACTAGATGGAGACAAGAGCGTGGAGGATTGACACGGGAGCAGGAATGCTGTTCCAGCAGCTGGTGGGAGATCCAGTGAGGCGAGTCCTCAGCAAACTGGGGGAACTGCTTTGGAATCTAAGCAGCAGAGAACTGAACCAGTGGGATCTTGGGGAGCTGGAGTCCTTGAAAAAGGAAGCCTCTTAAAATAAGGAGAGATTTTATCTGAAAATCAAGTTCATAGCGGCCTGTATGGCCAGGATTGGCCACTTTACCCCCACTGCTGCACTCAGTGTCCAAGGAATGTGGGGAAAACTAGAGGTCATCTCATGAGCCACACTTTCCTGTCCCGCGCTGGCCCAGGCTGTCACCAAGGCCTTCCAGGAGCTCAGAACTGGCACTTCCTTGCTATGTACAACATGAGTACAATGTTGGTTAAGTATAAATGGGTTGTTTCCATTTTGTTCCATGACTCTCACATTGGTGCTTTACTGTTGCCCCTGTCCTCTTGTTCTGCTAGATCTGTGCAGCCCAGCAGAGGAGCAAAAGCTGCTCTGTTCTGCTGGAGCTGGTGCTCACGTGGAAGAAAACCCACATTAAATCTGAATGAAATGAGGTGGGGGAAATGTTCGGTTGTTTCCTCCCTCCAGGTCCAGCCTGTCCAGCATCACTGGTGCTCAGCTCAGGCCAGAGCTGTCGATACAGAGGCCTGAACCAAGCTGGGGATCCTCCCTGCTGCTGCTCTCATTCTTCTGCCTGCTCAGCACTGACATAAACCTCACTCCCCACCTTTGACTCCACCCTGACTCGTTGCTTATTGGGGCTTGAAACTGTGTCGCTGCAGGGCTGTTTCCACTGAAATCAGCAGCACTCCAAAAACCAGCAGAGCTGGCAGGAGCCTTGGTGGAGGCAGCAGCCTGACCTTAGCAGGCTTCATCTCCTGCAGGGCCTTCTGAGAGCCCGTGCTCCTGGTACCCCTCACGGCAACAGGGCCCGGCTGGGCCGCACTCGGGGCCGGGCTCGTTCCTGCCGCCAGCGGGGTGCGGACAGGGAGGCCGCGAATCCGCTTTTCCCGGCTGCGTGCAGCCCGGGAAGAGGCGGCTGTGCAGCCCAGAACCGGCTGTCCCGGCCCGGGGGCAGCGGGGTCCCGGTCCCGGTCCCGGCGCTGCTCCCCTCGGCCCCGGGCCGCTCCCGCCCGCTGCCGCCGTTGCCCGGTGACCGCTCCTCTCCTTCCTGACCCTGGGGCGTGGCCTCGGTCCAGCCAATGGCAGCCCGCGCGTCTTTCCCTCAGAGCCCACCCCCGCCACCTCGGACCAATCAGCACCTGTATCTGCCTTGAGGGACAGCGCTGTTATCCAATAGCGAGGCTCGGTGTGTGAGGCGGGGAGGGGAGGCGGGGTTAACGCGGAGCCTCTGGCAGGGTGTGGGAGCAGGCTCGGTGCGCGGATTGGTGGGAGAGTTGAGGCCCCGCCTCTTTGGGCGTGGCCATCGCTGTAGCAGCCAATGGGAGGCGAGGGGCGGGGCGGAGGGGCCGCGTCGCTGCGGGCGCCGGTTCTGAGGGGCCGGGCCGGGCCGGGGGTGCCGGGGGTGCCGGGGGTGCCGGGGGTCCCGGGCCGGGCGGTCCCGGAGGGTTCGGAGCGCCCGGCGAGTCCCGGCGCCGCGGGCACGGCGGGCTGGTGAGGAGCAGGCTCACCCAGGGCTGGGAGGAGGGCGCGGGGAGGACGCCGGGCCGGGCCTCCCCATCGCGGTGACAGCGCCGTGCCGGTGTTCCCTCTCCCCGGACGGGGACGGCGGCTGTGAGTTGTCCCCGTGGCGCTGTCCTGGGCCTGCTTCATTTTCCTTTCCCATCACCTTTTAGAGAGATCCGTGACCTTGTGGCATCGCGCAGTTGACAAAAGCCCTGTGGGAAGTTCCGGCGCTCCGAGGGAGCGGCCGTGCCCGGGACGCAGCGCCATGCTGCTGCCGGTGCGGCGGGAGCCGGCCGGGGATCCCTCGGTGCTGCGGGCCCGCTGTGCGGCCGTGTGAGCCCGGCCCCGGAGATGGGTGCGCGCAGCGCCGCGGCCCCGTGCCCCGCGGAGCGCCCCGGGTAGCGCTGCCGGGACAGCTGCCCAGAGCCCCGGCACGGACGGCATGGCGGTCAGCATGGACGATGATGTTCCGCTGATCCTCACCCTGGACGACAGCGGCAGCAGCGCCTCGGCCCCTCTGGAGGAGCTGGATCGGGAGGAGCTGCCGAACGAAAGTAAGAGCCTTTTGTCGGTGCCTGCCCGGTGCTGGTCCCTTTGTCCCGGTGAGACTCCCGGGGCTGTGGCTCGGTGTCCGGGGGCTGCCCGGTGACAGCCGGTCAGGAGCCGCCGCTTGTTGCTCACAGCCCCGTGTGACGCCGCGGGGCCCGGCCAGGTCCTTCCAGTGCTCTTGCTAACACACAGCTTTGTGCTTCCCCCTGTGACCTTAATCCCTTTCCTGCACGCTGTCCCAGAGCCTCTGCTTCCCTTGGCACTGTCCCACTGCACTTATCTCATGTTTTCCTAGCACCATAAACATCTGCACTTTGGGAGATGTTTTCTGTTTCTAGTTTACATTTCTTTCCAAGAAAGAAAGCGCTGATAAATCCTTTCCACATCTTTATTGTGTTCTTACCAAAGAACCTGGAGTACTTTCAAACAACACATGCTGTTCAGTGGGGCATAGCCAGCCTGTGAGCACTGGCAGGGGGAAAACAGCAGCTATCATCCCTCAGAAGCTTTGTTTTTCTCCTCAGTGTGTCTTCATTGAAACCTTCACCGTGCAGCAGGCTGGATGTGGCCAGCAGATGTGCCTGAGCATGTTCAGAGAGTTTCTGCTTGGTGTTACCCCTCATGGATGTATCTGTGCACTTTTGTCCAGCACATCCCCGTTACTTCCAGCTGCAGGTGCACACACACAGGTCTTGTGATCCTGCTCCAGCCCTTGCTGCCGCAGGCTGGACATTTGGAACAAATGCATCATTTCCTGGCCAGGCATGCCTTTTTTCCACATTATATCTCTGTGCCATACTGCCTCTGAGATTCGATTCCTCTTGCAATAAGATGAGTCCCCTTATGGCTTCCCAACTCTGGAATTAATTTTGGATAATCAAGATTCTTCCTCCCTTCTCCTCCTCCTCCTCCTCTGCCACCCCACAGTACAGATCCCTGACTAAATTGCCCAGCTGACTTTTTCTGAGCTCTGTTTTATCCTTGCTTCATCCCATCTGTTTGTCTTTTAAAGTTTAGCCCTCTATTTTTAAGTTAAATGGAAGAGAGATTTCTTTCTCCATCCACGGGTGTATTTATAGGATTCCTTGTGACTAATTTTAATCACTCTTCCCTCTTTCCCCCGCCTCCCATCCCTTCAAAGAAGAAGTTGTGTGAGGCTTAACAATTGCTTGAAGCCAGCATGACTGTGTTAAAGCAGAGGCATGAGAATGAATGTATTAATAAATAAAATTCTCCACATTGAAATACAGGGAAGTTCTTTAGGGACCAATTTTGTGCTTCTTAGAGGATCGCTGTGTGGTTTTTGAGAATTCATTTCCTGGCATCCTTCAAATGAAATGTCTGTTATTTGTATGTTTTAATCACTGTTAAAGTTGGATTTGCTGCAGAAATATAAAGCTTATGCTATGGAAGCAATAGGGAATGATACAGAGCCTTCTGAAGTCAGGGTGGGATGAAGGATTAGGAGGGGAAGGCTGGCATCAACAACTCAAAAAGCTCTCAAAAAACTTGAAAGGCACCTTTATCTCTGGGAAGTGGGAAGCTTAAATCAGGGAGGGAGCACACTGACACCAGCACTGGCAAAAGTAAGCTTGTTTAAAAACCAGGCTGTGTAGTCCAGCTTTTGCTCTTTGCCTGCACAGAAAATCTGCTGTGAAATGCAGCAAAGTTGTGTCTCGTGGAGGCTGTGAGGAATCAAATGTGTCCCCTCTGCTCTGCCTCCCCTTGGCTGCTGAGGACTGGAGTGGCATTAACAGAACTGTGTGGTGTCGTGTTTTCAGTCAGAAGCTTTTCTTTTCCAGAAAAAAGGTGTGAGAAGTGCTTGTCAGGGGAGAGAGATCCTGCCAGGGTGAAGGTGAGGACATGGGGACAGGGAAGGTCAGGAGGCTCTTTCCTTCTGGCTTTGTCCTCCCTTTGCCTAAACTTTCATAAATTCATAAACTCTCTCAAAAATTCTCATAAACTCTCCAAATTCAGCCAGAACTTGGAGGAACCGCTCCCTCATTACTGTGCCTGGCCATCATCAGCTCCAAGGGATTCAGTGGCTGGTTAAACACAAAACTTTCACTGAGCTATGTGCCCAGAACAGGCTGGGACTGTCTGCAGTGAAGGACCCCCCGTCCTCTTCCAGGTGACACCTGGGGAAAGATAAAGTAGCTGTAGCTGCCCCTTGTTCAATCTTATGTTTGGGGCTGCTAATAAATTAAATCTCACCCTTGCTTTGTGTTCCTGTGTGCACAAACTCCTCTAGATTGTGGCCCATTCTCCAGCCTGTCACAACCATGTCACTGAGTGCTCTGTACCTGTGGGGTTCAGTGTATCAGCTCTTGTGGCTTTTAAGGAACTTCTTGTGCTTTTAAATTAAAAAAAAAAAACCAAACCAAAAAACCACCCCCCCCCCCCCCCCCCCCAAAAAAAAATACTATCCATGCTCTGGCTTTGTTCCAGTCAGGTCTTTGGCTAAATGAATTTGTAGTTGTGGATTCTTGGTGCTGATTGCCTGGAACTGGAGACAAGTTTCTGGCTTGAAATAAGTAAAAAACAGGGTTTTCTGAAAGCAAGCCTGTAGCAGATGTGAAAAGAAAGGGCTGAAGTGCAGGAGTGAATTCCTTCCCAGACCTTGCAGGAGAGTTCTCTCCTGGGTAAGTGGGTGTCTTGGGGTTAGAATAAAAGAGAGCTAAAGGAGAAAATTGTGTGGAAAATTGCATTCTTAAAGAAAATGTCCAGCTGCAAAAATTAATCTCCCAAATCCTCCAGCTCTTAAGCATTTAATGAGAGAAAATACTTGCATGGGGAGGAATATTAAACTCTGCCTTGCTTGGCTTGTGCTGGGACACAGGGCTTCCAGGGAGATCCCATCTGCAGCCACCACAAAGGGTCAGAATCCAAAGTTGACAGGAATTCAGACCACATCCAGAGCAATGTGCTCCCTGTGGTGGTGCTGATGCTTTTCTGACTGTGCTGTGTAGGGGCTGGGTGATTTTTCTTTGCAGCTCCAGCAGCTGAAGGAGACAGGGAGAAGCTCTTGCATCACCTGGATGCACAGTAATAGATGTGAGCTGCCCTTCCCCAGCACATTTTATCTGAACATCTCCTTACAAACTCCAGCTAAGCTCCCCAGCCCCTGCCTGGGGGCAGTGACTAATAGGAGACTGAATTTCTACAGAAGGCAAGGAGGGAGATGTGAACCTGGTGTGGCTTTTCC